ACATTCCACCAGACCCGAGTAATTGCATCCAGACAATGTGAGGATATATATGTAGGAAGGGGGGGTGGGAAAATCGGAGGTTGCTGAGTAAAGTGAATCTCTGCATTACGATTATGAGACTCTCAGCTGTACCCATGTACAGCTGTGTATTTAAAGCTATGTATCCAATTTCACTGATTCTGCTTCAGTGCTATATAACTAGTCTAGAACCACAACCATTAGAGTTGGGATCAATTCCCTGTCAATACAGGAATAGAATTGGACATAAATTCAGATCACATAAATATGTGTTTATTGTATAGACCTAGACCAGTGGTCACCAAGGCATTCTTAGTCGATCACCAAACATTTCTGTAGAAAAACCGAAGATAAATGCATAAAGGATTGCGGTCCCTTTGTTTTGTGTTGGCTGTTGGCGGTAAGTGCACTTGATTTAGAAGCCCTGCGCACCGGGATGCAAAGTGTTCCCATTTTGAACCATTTAATTTGTCTGAAAAGATCAACTCCGCCTACCCGGCAGACCAGGAGATCTTTGGCTAAATTGAGTGTGCTACTGCGTTGGCCAATTGGATAGCTCAATTCACCGTGCCTACCTACAGCTTCCATAACCCCCGGCCACAGCAAAGGTTGATACTAGCCTACAAGAGATTTCATAACTTTTAAAACCATGTCTGAAACTGTCAAAGAATACAGAAAATCGCTGCTGTTTTTATGAGTGAGTTCATGTCAAAGTTTTATTCAGCACTGTCAACACTGGTTTTATTCAACACTATTACAAAACATAAAACGCGTTTCTCTCTACTTCCACTCGCTTTGCAGCTGCAATGAATGAGTAGCCAAGTGTATCGATAGCCCTGCGTTTTTATTATTATTAGCAGCTCGTCGTGTCTATTTTAATATCGAAGAATATTTCACTTTCTCTTGTCATGGGAACAACATTAATTTGTGCCTGAGGCAGATGTGCCTGAGGTGACTCGAGTTTCGCCATCAGCTGGAAGACTGTGTCCCCTCTCTCTGGTCAGCCTCACCGGAGGAAAGAAAAGAGAGAGCAGGGACCGTGAGAGGCAGACCCTCTACTGCTCTCTCCCTCCCTCCGCTCCCTCCGCTCGAGACTAAAGCTGTGTTCAAAACAACTGGGAACTCGGAAATCTCAGACTTCCGACTTCAGTGCTTTCAAGACAACTGGGATCTCTGAAAAAAACTAGATCCGACTGGGGAAAATTTGTTTTGATCCGTCATCCAACTCGGCATCATTCTAGAGCTCCAACTTTCCGACCTGATGTTCACTGACGTCATAATTTGACCTCGTTTTTTCCGAGTTCGCAGTTGTATTGAAAGCACTATGACCATCAGATGCAGGTACCTACCATCAGTCCAGTAAAATAAAAAAGCAAATTATTTCAATTTATGCTCAGCTGTGCCTCGCAAGTGCTACACCAACTGATCTATTTTGTTATCAAAGCTTGTGTTTTGAAATATAAAATGGTCAGAGAAGAACAATATTGGCAGGCCTGGCATGGCATATAGCCAATATGCTGTGATAATGTATTAGGCCTACTGCACAAACCTAATTCCTACAGAACTGTTTTTATTAGGTTAAATGTAAAAACATTTAAGTCATGTTTTTTTTTTTTTTTATCTGAGCGGCAGATCTCGGCTTCCATTTTGACTACGAAAGTGATCTTAACTCAGAAAAGGTTGGTGACCACTGACCTAGATAATGTCCCAAATGGCACCCTATTCCCTTTATAGTGTACTTATTTTGACCAGAGCCTATAGGGTGCCATTTGGGATACAAACCAAGGCTATTGAGAGAGCTAGGAAGTGTGAGGAGGCTTACCTTGTGGGCATTGAGTTGGGGTCGTGGCAATGCCATACACTCGCGAACGCTTCTGTGGCAGAAACTCGTCCGTCTCTCTGTCCGTTGTGCGGTCCACGGCTACCACCGCTTCCCTGGCAACAGCAAACAACATTATCAGAACATTCTCTAAACATTCGCTGGGCCCCCCGGGACCACACACCAACGTTTGAGCCACGTCAAATAAACATTGGCATTAAACAAACTTAGACATTTATGAGACACTCACGTTTTTAAATAAATAGTACAGTTTCAAATGGCTTCTACCATTCTTATGAAGGCTCTTACTCTATTGACTACCATGAAAAAATTAATTCTACATGAAAATAATCCTTTCTATCATTCATTGCCAAGGTTATTGATTTATTTTCATGAATCTATTGAAAAGGGGGTAATATACTGACCTGGTGTATTCAAACCTGAGCATTTTATGTAATGGGAAATGTATGCATGCTCATGAAAAAGGTGTGTATGAATGAAGGAATGAATTAATTAATCAAATCAAATTGTATTAGTCACGTACACAGCTTACAGCAGGTATGAAAGGTGCAGTGAAATGCTTATTGTTACACATCATGAAATATATTCAGGCACAAATTACAGACAGTAGCCGACAATTAGCTAATTAGAACTCAAATAATTGATCATGGAATGTATTTTAATGTGATTTAAATATATAGGGATACAGTGGGGGGAAAAAGTATTTAGTCAGCCACCAATTGTGCAAGTTCTCCCACTTAAAAAGATAAGAGAGGCCTGTAATTTTCATCATAGGTACACGTCAACTATGACAGACAAATTGAGGAAAAAAAATCCAGAAAATCACATTGTAGGATTTTTTATGAATTTATTTGCAAATGATGGTGGAAAATAAGTATTTGGTCACCTACAAACAAGCAAGATTTCTGGCTCTCACAGACCTGTAACTTCTTCTTTAAGAGGCTACTCTGTCCTCCACTTGTTACCTGTATTAATGGCACCTGTTTGAACTTGTTGTCAGTATAAAAGACACCTGTCCACAACCTCAAACAGTCACACTCCAAACTCCACTATGGCCAAGGCCAAAGAGCTGTCAAAGGACACCAGAAACAAAATTGTAGACCTTCACCAGGCTGGGAAGACTGAATCTGCAATAGGTAAGCAGCTTGGTTTGAAGAAATCAACTGTGGGAGCAATTATTAGGAAATGGAAGACATACAAGACCACTGATAATCTCCCTCGATCTGGGGCTCCACGCAAGATCTCACCCCGTGGGGTCAAAATGATCACAAGAACTGTGAGCAAAAATCCCAGAACCACACGGGGGGACCTAGTGAATGACCTGCAGAGAGCTGGGACCAAAGTAACAAAGCCTACCATCAGTAACACACTACGCCGCCAGGGACTCAAATCCTGCAGTGCCAGACGTGTCCCCCTGCTTAAGCCAGTACATGTCCAGGCCTGTCTGAAGTTTGCTAGAGTGCATTTGGATGATCCAGAAGAGGATTGGGAGAATGTCATATGGTCAGATGAAACCAAAATATAACTTTTTGGTAAAAAACTCAACTCGTCGTGTTTGGAGGACAAAGAATGCTGAGTTGCATCCAAAGAACACCATACCTACTGTGAAGCATGGGGGTGGAAACATCATGCTTTGGGGCTGTTTTTCTGCAAAGGGACCAGGACGACTGATCCGTGTAAAGGAAAGAATGAATGGGGCCATGTATCGTGAGATTTTGAGTGAAAACCTCCTTCCATCAGCAAGGGCATTGAAGATGAAACGTGTCTGGGTCTTTCAGCATGACAATGATCCCAAACACACCGCCCGGGCAACAAAGGAGTGGCTTCGTAAGAAGCATTTCAAGGTCCTGGAGTGGCCTAGCCAGTCTCCAGATCTCAACCCCATAGAAAATCTTTGGAGGGAGTTGAAAGTCTGTGTTGCCCAGCGACAGCCCCAAAACATCACTGCTCTAGAGGAGATCTGCATGGAGGAATGGGCCAAAATACCAGCAACAGTGTGTGAAAACCTTGTGAAGACTTACAGAAAACGTTTGACCTGTGTCATTGCCAACAAAGGGTATATAACAAAGTATTGAGAAACTTTTGTTATTGACCAAATACTTATTTTCCACCATAATTTGCAAATAAACTGGATTTTATTTTCCTCATTTTGTCTGTCATAGTTGACGTGTACCCATGAGGAAAATTACAGGCCTCTCTCATCTTTTTAAGTGGGAGAACTTGCACAATTGGTGGCTGACTAAATACTTTTTTTCCCCACTGTATGTAGCCTATAGTTCTAGGCCTACTGTATTTCTATTTTGATGCAGTCATCTCTGTTTTTATTTGAAGCATATTGTTATCCTTGGCTTGTTTGTAACAATTGCAAATACATTGGCGACTTTGTATTTGTAGTCAACTTCGTTCTGCTATCGTCAGTCACAGAGAGACAGATAGGCCTAAACATCTTGATTCTATGTATAGCAGAGATTTTCTGTGTATAGTAGGAGAATCTACGGAAGGGCAAAAAAGCATCTAACGACGCACTTAGCTGTTCTACGAGTGGTCTGAGGCAGTCTGTAAATAACAAGCATTTTCAAGTGCAACTTTAGTAACAATAGTTTTAGGAAACAGCTCGGAGATTTAACGATGCTCCTACAAAGGTTCAAACGATGAACTTAGCCTTAAGATGCTTTTGGGAAACCGGGCCCAGGTGATCATACCTTCTCCAGTCAGTGTAGTAAAGGTTCCTCCCATGGGATACGATGGCGAAAGGATACTGAATCCCCTCCACAATAGTCCTACGGTTCCTACCGTTGGGGTCCATACACTGTACCTTACGAGTACCTGTAAAGGTTTAAAAAAAACATGCAGGAGTCAAACCAACATCCCTGCTGCTAGCACCATGCTCCAACTAACTGAGTCATCTGAACTGCCTCAGTACAGTGGGATTTTCCCATGGATTGCTACATAGCATGTTTAGCTAACGATATCAATAGTGTTAGCATGTTTAGTGTAGCGTCTTTACCGGCATCGATAGGGTTAGCATGTTTAGCATAGCTTCTTAACAACATCAATAGTGTAAGCACGTTTAGCATAGCTTTTTACAGATAGTGTTAGCATGTTTTATAACTTCTTACTAGCATCGATAGTGTTAGCATGTTTAGCGTAGCCTCTTACCAGCATCGGCCCAGCACAGCTGCTGGCTCTCAGGGTCGTATGTAAGGCCGTTGGGCAACCCCAGGTCGTCCTTAACCAAGACTGTCCTGTCGGTTCCGTCCATGTTGGACATCTCGATCTTGGGCCCGTCTCTGTTCCAGTCTGCCCAGTAGAGTCGTCTGGACAACAAGCCAGAGAAAACATGTTCTTGTCATGATGCTTAGAACCATATTTTTAAACCAACAGCTTTAAAATGAACACAGCACTGGGGATTTCTGTTGTCAAACCTACGTTATGCTATCTAAACCATGAAAAGGCTAACCTGCCAGATTCACTAGCGAAATCGTTCCAGGCCTTAGCGGTTAAGAACAATATATATTCAGCACAAAGAACTAACTGCTTATTTAATCACAAATTTGCAACAAAGGAATCAAAGTCAGACATTGTCCAAAGACACGTACCCATAGGAGGGGTCAGCGACAATGGGCCGGGGGTTTACCAGGTCGGTGTCGAAGAGGACACGGCGCTGGCTTCCGTCCAGTTTGGCCACCTCAATCCTGTCCTTCATGGAATCCGTCCAGAACATTAGCCGGGCCAGGTGGTCGATAGCCAAACCCTCTGGGCTCTCCAGGTCTAAGGAAGAGAGAAGGAGGACATCATTACGCCTAGTTGAGACAGAAACGACTGATTTTCTATGGGGGTCATCAGGGATGGCTCTGGCCAGCCGGGCTAGTAGACCGCAATTCCTACAAGCCCGGGTCCTAAATCTGTGGGATATTTAAGAAGACAAAATGTCACTAGCCAGCCAGCAAGCAGCAAGCCAGCTTTATTTCCATCCCTTGGGGTTATACACTACATTACCAAAAGTATGTGGACATCTCATTCCAAAATCATGGGCATTAATATGGTGTTGGTCCCCCCTTTGCTGTTATAACAGCCTCCACTCTTCTGGGAAGGCTTTCCAGTAGATTTTGGAACATTGCTGAGAGGACTTGCCATTCAGCCACAAGAGCATTAGTGAGGTCGAGCACTGATGTTGGGTGATTAGGCCTGGCTCGCAGTCGGCGTTCCAATTCATCCCAAAGGGGTTCGATGGAGTTGAGGTCAGGGCTCTGTGCAGGCCAGTCAAGTTCTTCCACACCGATCTCAACAAATAATTTGTATGGACCTTGCTTTGTGCATGGGGGCATTGTCATGCTGAAACAGGAAAGGGCCTTCCCCAAACTGTTGCCACAAAGTTGGAAGCACAGAATCGTCTACAATGTTATTGAATGCTGTAGCTTTAAGATTTCCCTTCACTGGAACTAAGGGGCCTAGCCCGAACCATGAAAAACAGCCCCAGACCATTAGTCCTCCTCCACCAAACTTTACAGTTGGCACTATGCATTCGGGAAGGTATTCGTCCGTCGGACTGCCAGATGGTGAAGTGTGATTCATCACTCCAGAGAACGTGTTTCCACTGCTCCAGAGTCCAATGGTGGCGAGCTTTACACAACTCCAGCCGACGCTTGGCATTGCGCATGGTGATCTTAGGCTTGTGTGCGGCTGGCTGCTTGGCCATGGAAACCCATTTCATGAAGTTCCCGACTAACAGTTATTGTGCTGACGTTGCTTCCAGAGGCAGTTTGGAACTCGGTAGTGAGTATTACGTGCTACGTGCTTCAGCACTCGGCGGTCTCGTTCTGTGAGCTTGTGTGGCCTACCACTTCACGGCTGAGCCTTTGTTGCTACTAGAGCTGACCGGGGCAGCTCTAGCAGGGCAGAAACGTACTTGTTGGAAAAGTGTCTCCCGAGTGGCGCAGTGGTCTAAGGCACTGCATCGCAGTGCTAGCTGTGCGACTAGAGATCCTGGTTCGAATCCAGGCTCTGCAGTAGCCGGCCGCAACCGGGAGACCAATGGGGCAGCGCACAATTTGTCCAGGGTAGGGGAGGGAATGGCAGGCAGTGAGGTAGCTCAGTTGGTAGAGCATGGCGTTTGCAACGCCAGGGTTGTGGGTTCGATTCCCACGGGGGGCCAGTATGAAAATAAAAAAGAATAATGTATGCACTAACTGTAAGTCGCTCTGGATAAGAGCGTCTGCTAAATAATGTAAATGTATGACGGTGCCATGTTGAAAGTCACTGAGCTCTTCAGTAAAGCCATTCTACTGACAATGTTTGTCTATGGAGATTGCATGGCTGTGTGCCCGATTGTATGCAACGGGTGAGGCTGAAATAGCCAAATCCACTAATTTGAAGGGGTGTCCACATACTTTTCTATATATAGTGTACATTGAAAGACTACCAAGACAATGAATGGCAGTCCGTCTTGTTTCACACATGTCAAAAGATGGTGTCTCCTTCCTACAGGCTGACCTGAGACCTGTGTACTGTGCACCTGTTGTGACGAGAGAAATTATGTCTCCTCCCTCCAGGCTGGCCTTGCTGATGGAGGGCCCTGTGATGTCCGTCCCTACCATCTTCTCCCACAGTCGTAGCCACGCAATTGCCTGTTTAGTCCTGTATGCAACACAT